CCAAACATATTTGAGAATTAAAAGAGAAGTTCACCCTGTACAAGGCCGTGAAGGAAAACGCGAAGACGAAAAGCAAGCGAGCCGAAGAAATATCCAAGAGGACGAGTCCCGGCGAAGCTGCGCAGGAGCCGGTACAACGGTGTTTTTTATGCGGAGACAAAACTCATCTAAGTGCGAACTGTCCAATGAAAAGCAAAAGTGCTAGATGTTTTAAATGTCAGGAGTACGGACACATCGCATCGAAATGCAACAATCTGACTAAGTTCCCTACGGATGCGTGCAGTGCGTCGCAGTCGTTAAAGACGAAGCGTTGTAGAGACGTTAAGATCGAAGATTGCCGAGAGTAATTGTACACTCGGAGAATTTTCGACGAATGTTGTAATAGATGATGAGTCCCGTTATGTCCATGTGCACTGTATGCCACGGTATGCTGGTCTTGGGTATAGGATGTAGTTCAGCTTGTATTTTACCTGAACTAGCCTTCGAAACTCGACATGACAGTTCCAACGAATTTACGAACATACTTCGCCATTCCTTCGATCCAGTAATACTCGTACAGTTTCTCCAGCGTTTTATCCCACCCTAAGTGCATAATGGACTGGTGCACGTGGCTTATAACGGACCACCTAAGGCCTCGTGGGACAATGGGCAAGATAACGGACCATCTAAAGCCTTTCGGAACAATGGGCAAACAGAGAGTTCTGACTTTTCTCTGTATTTTACGATAAAGAGTACCGGATCGTAGTTCGTACGTATTCACGATGTCGTCCGCGAGCTCATCGTTTTGCAATTTGTTAGCAATTTCTGTAATTTGGGGATCGCGACGTTGTTCCACTAATAGCCAATCTTCGGAGATTTCGGTCAGATCGATTTCTTTCTCTGTAACTTTGCTGATCGTACGATGATCCAAGTCTACGGGGTTTCGCGAAAAGAAATCTACGTGGGCCATTCGTTTACCTTCCCGATACATAATGTCAAAGGTAAAAGTTTGTAAGTAAGCCCTATGAACCCAGTCATTTAAATGTACCTTATTATTAGATGCCTTCAAGGAATTACAATCAGTGACGACAAGAAATTCTCGTCCATGCAGATAATGGCGAAAGTGTTTGACGGCGTTTACAACTGCTAACGTCTGTAGTTCACAGGAATGATACCTAGATTACGCGGGGCTAGTTCTTTTGCTGTAATATTCCACTACGCTGTTTTTACCTTCAACCTTATGCATTAAAATAGCCCCACATCCCTCAGAACTATCGTCGGTATGTAGTTCTATCGGATAATTGGGGTCGAATATCATTAACTCCGGCGCATCAGTCAGAACGGAGATTATTTTGCCTTATTTTTTCGTGTCTATCCGTCCAAGTTATATTTTTATTACCGGAAGTAAGTGCATGCAAGGGTTTCATTACCTGTGAGAATTTAGGGACGAATTTTCGGAAGTAAGAGGCTAAACCTATGAACTGCCTGAGCTGTGTGACGGTCGTTGGCGCAGGTAAAGAACTCAAGGCGTGTATTTTACCCGGGTTGGGACGAACTTCTCCGTTATGAATTACATATCCCAAATAGAGTACCGATGTCTTTAGAAAAGAACATTTTGAAAAGTTAAAAGAGAATCCGGCTTTTACGAGGGTATCTAATACTGTGTTTAATCTTTCTAGAGCTTGATCTATCGCGTCGTCCAAATAAACAACAACATATGAATACGCAAGGTCGCCTAAGGCATTGAGAATGGCCCTCTGAAAAACGGACGGTGCATTTTTCAATCCAAACGGCATCGTTATGTACTCATATTGTCCGTCGGGGGTAACGAACGCTGTATATTCAGTCGAATTTAGATGAATGGGAATTTGGTGGAACCCGCTGGCTGTCCAGGCTGATAAAGTATCTCGCCTTTTGCAGCCTCGCGATCTGAACCGCTATAAGAGGGAGAGGGTACCGACCCGCGATCGTATTTTTATTTAACGCTCGGAAATCTACGCACAATCTATCTGAGCCGTCTTTTTTCTTCACGAGTAACATAGGGCTTGCGAACGGCGAACTATTTGGCCTTATGATTTTTGTTCTAATTAGTCCACTTATTCTCTCGCTCACTATTTTCCGTTCTTCCTCGCTAAGTCTGTAAGGGCTTCTTTGTACGGTGACGTTAGGGCCAATTAGACGTATTTCTAACTGGCCTGTACTTACGCGAGTACGCGGGAAACTCGTAATGAACGAATCTTTGAATTTTTCGAGAACAGAAATTAATCGATCTTTGTCGTTACCAACTACATCAGTGTCGACCTCGTTAATGTTGACCGTTTCGTGTAATATTCGCGTTAAAACCTTGGCTTAAAATTTAACGACCAATCATGATATCGTATTTTAAGTAGCTATCAGCAAGGATATGAAAAGTTATCTCCAATGTAAAACTGTTAATACATACAGTGGACAAGATCTAAGACGTACTTTTAACACAAGGCTGTAGAGGCTGTAGATTCTTTAATTAATGAGCATTCGGCTCCGGAATCGAAGTAAAATGGGAACGACTCCCTACTAGCTCGACAAACTACCAGCTGGAGACTCCACCACGCAGGAGTCGACTCGACGTTCGTTCTTGAGGCCAGATTTTCTGTCCTGCAGTAGCGGACAATCAGGTGCGATATGGCCCTCCGCACGACACTTGAAGCAAACCACCTTGGACGATGTGGCTGGTCCGCTTCTTTTCTGGTGTCACGTAAATTTAAGGGTTGGTTGATGAAATAAAATAGCTGAGTCGCAACACAACTACTGTCTTTATTTTCTAGCACAGCGCAGGTATACACTGATCGAAGAGATGTTCACTGTTCGATGGTTTTTTCTATTTCTCTAGGTGTTCTCGTCTCATTACGGAGGAAAGCTCGGTGTGAGTGTGCCCTTTTTAATTAACAACGCGGATTCGCTGTTCGCACCTTCCGTTAGGAAAAGTGAGGGTAACGATCCACGATGCCAATCGGTTATAGGTCATGTTAATAAATGAAGATAGGAGGAGAAAGCCTCGTATCAACGTGTCTAGTAGGTAATATTGTTTTTGGGAAAAACCAGCTTTTTCGTTAGTCAAGTATTAGGTAACTACCTGCTTTCCCCGTAATTAGTAATGACGTATAACAATCTAAGGGCTGTTTTAAGGACCATCCATAAATAGATAACACAAAAATAATAAACTAAAAGTTTAAGTTTATGGTGGGTCCCTGGGCTAATTGCGAGTACGGGCTGAAGACATGCACACATTCGGCCTCTAATTTGAATTGACGTTACACTGGCGTCGAGTATTCTTCCGCTGTTCGCTACGCATTCTCTTGCGACACTCCATTATTTTATGTCCGTAGGTACCACAGTAAAGGCACCGGGCGGCCCGATAGCTTGCGTCGTTTGGCTTTGGGTTCCGCCAGTGAATTTCCTGGCGAAGATATCGGCTGATCGTTGTAATCAAGAATTCTCATTTCATCATGAAATTGGTCTTCCGTCTTGATATTATTCGCGAGAGCTAGTCGTCGAAAGCGTTCGTCTCGTGAACTTAACATATAAAGGGCGATGGCATTGATTATTTCGGGCCTCGTTAGATCTTGCAACTTCATCTGCACCATGGTACGGACGCGACTACCGTAAGCTCCTCAGGTTTCGTTCTCCAACGGTTGTTCTTTGGATATCCTTATTAACGCCGAGGCTACTGTCTCTTTGCCACCAAAATGCGAAAGGAATCGTTTCTTAAACTTTGGCCAGGTAAGCTTTCCACCGCACACTATCTGTGAAAGCCAATGCGCAGCAGAACCCCTTGGGGCGCGAGTTAGAGCAAAAAGTAACGCACTATCTTATATCGGGTAGTCCTTCAAAATCAGATCAGTATATGAGCACCACACGAATGGATCGGCGTCCGCGCCTTCAGGGTCAAAACGTGGTAACGTTACATCCTTAGGTTCCGTACTTGGTTTTTGCTCCCTCGGCTGTGTTAACAGGTCCACGATTCTCATGAGTTGTTCCGTGGTTATATATGGACCTGATCCCACTTCTGATGTCGGGGTGGCGTTGTGGGTGTTTGATGAATCTTCATTGGAATTAGCCACCGTTATGGTATAACAAAGGTACGGCTTATTAACACAAATATGGATACCACAGACTTGACAATCAACCACTGCGATTAAGAGCTCGCGACACTAGTGACAATGGCCTTAGGTTCGATAACGAATCCGCGGTCAACGGGATGATAGATGTACGTGCTCGCAAAATCTAAGTCTGACTCTTTGTTAATAAAACGAGTAATATTCACTGATTGTAAGGCATTATTTTTTTCGTCGATGAGATCGCAAGAGAGAGTGACTTTCCGTCCCGATGATGCCACAGAGGAAAACTATATAGGGTGTGTCTAAGGACACGAGATCCTCGGATTCGTCGAGGAAAGTCTTCGTTCGGAAGGTGAGGGAAATTGACGTTGCTGTTAATTGGTCAATCTCCATATTGGTGGTTAGAAAAAGATGCTAGCCGCCCTCGAGGGAAAGCTGCACATGTACTGCGGAAACGCATCGACATCTGGCAATTATCTTACTCGAAGAATAGGGTCTGCGTGTGGCGAGCTACGGGACAGAGACCGTTGGAATGTTTACTGCCGAGTGTTACAACTATTTCCTTTTTAAGGAGAGCTATAGAATTACTGCATACTTCTGCCAGACAAAGCGTTCATCCCGTGACCGCGGCCTCGTCCGGCGACTGGCTGTCGCTTAGAGCCCAAGTTTACTATCACAAATCTCGAACAATTACAATCGAATTGAATAACTACAATTGTTTAATTACAGCTATGGTAGACTCTAGATTGCAATGTTGCGGGATTATCCAAAATTCTAATTCCGGTGTTCTTTCATCTCCGACATATATATACATATTTAAATAATAGAAACTTGGAAGGAACTGGAAAAAAGTATTTCAATTCTTACAATCAAATAATAGAAATTTATATTTTTTATATCGGTTTATTTTAATATCTCTTCCAGATATAAATAACGTGTCCTGTCCACCATTGAATCCGGAGGGCCGAGGATATTTAATGTGTTCACGTTTGGCAACGCCAAAGCCATGGAGAGGTAGACGAAGAGTAGCCAATCGACCAGGTACCAAGTGTTTCTTGAAGTGTCCCCATGGGTATCAGCTTCATGGGGAATATGAATTGACTTGTCGATCGGATGGTTCATGGGATGGGCCGAAACACGGCGAGTGCGTCAGTGAGTAAAAATATTAATCCAATTGTTTCTTTTTACTCTGTTCTTAGATACATAAAGATAATGTAATTTTTCATGTATAGGACAGTATGTAGAAACTAATTTGTTAAATTTCACGCAATTTTGTGTATTCTTTAACTAATATTATTGAACACCACTATGATTAAATATATAAATAAATAAAGTATGTATATTTCTTAATGAATGATTAAATAGTATTTATAATTCGAATTAATACCGTTTTGATGATAAATATTAATTAGAAGTCTAATTCCATTAGCTAAATTTACTTCACTATATGAAACTGACTTTATTAATAATTAATAAATAATATATACGAGTATTAACAATTTAAACAACAACGTAGTATTAAACATTTGGATCTTCATACGTACTTAATGTTTGCATGGGATTATCACAGTTCAAGTCTTTTTATTGTATGTGCTAACTCAGATTCTAATTAAGTTAGCTACAGACGCGAAAGATGTACTAATGTACAAGTTAATGCTCACAAGTACAAGAAAATGTTCCTAATAATAATTTTAATGGAATTAGTCCTTTCAAATATGAATATATGAACGCATTTTTAAATATATTTTAAGTAAATCTTGTCTTTATTAAGATTATAACAAATTTTAATTTAATAATTTCAATTGTTTTCTCAAATTACTCAAAAGGACGAGGTGTGCAATTATTTTGTTATTCTTTTTCTACTTATTGTTATCTTTATTATTATTTTCTTTTTTGATGCTCTGATATCCAATTAATTTTGCTTGCAGGATACTGCAAGTCTCGTTCAGAATGTCCGAAAAATGCTATAACATTTCTTGCAAATTGTCTTTTTTTATTATTTATTATCTAACCAAAACTTAATATTTGCATATACAAATCCAATCTAAACACTAAAAGATACCTTTGTGTATATCACGGCAACTAAAGCTGAACTGTAATTATAAGTAATATAAGGTAGACTCGGTAGATAAATATTTTACGTACTAAATATTATAATGGGTATACTCTGGATATTTTACATATTTTTGCATATTACGTGCATTCGTATTACATATTCGTATCACGGTTTAATTATAAGTGAAATTGCAATTATCCTTTTCTTTGATACTCCAATTTGCAACTACTTCGTGTTGCAGGATACAGCAAACCTCGTTTAGAATGTCCGAAAGATGTGATCGCGGAACTACCGCCCGGACGAGACGAGGCCTTTGTGACTTTCGATCAGCCATCGACGGATCTCGATTGGTTCCGGTATGTTAGGTCGAAACCCTCCTGGGGGACTAGGCTAGAAGCGAATCTAACCCCCGGCATGCACGAGATCACGTTTTTTGCAAGACACCCGGTATCGAAGAAACAGGCCAGCTGCGTGTTACGCATCATTGTCAAAGGTGATTAATTAATACACGTGCATGAAATCAATGCGTGACATGTAAACTTCGCGATGATAATCGTTATTGATTATCAAACTGAGCTATTAATCAACGAGGGTAGATCTGCTCGTAGTCCGCGTTATCGGTGAATGGAATCAGGAACGATTAATTTTCCGGGGTTAAGGAACTGTTTCTGACAACATGCAGATAGTCTTCAGCGACGTACCGTTCTGGTTGCAAACACTAGTTATTTAGCGGTTCTATGTTTGGAACGTTAATTATGCTTTCCGCTTCTTTAAGTGTTAATACAATGATTGCGAGTATAAGGAGTCACAAAATTATTCGTATGTTTTTAATCGAGTCGATTTCAAACGATGGATATTTCCTATCGAAATACGCGTTTGAAAATTCGTACGAATATATTTTTTATCTTCATTATCGTTTTGAATACTGTTCTATTATTCTACATTAACTTAGTCATCTTTGCAATGAAAGGCAGGAAAATGTTTAAGTTAAAATTAGTTAGTATAAAACGTACTGACATCTACTATTAATAAAACATTTATTATTATGATTTTTGAAATAATTATTACAAATCTTAAGGCACGGAATTAATTTAGGCGTAATATATTTGCATTTAATTAATGAAATGGGTACTACAGAGTATTCTGCACACTAAAGTAATTGTTTCATACAATACATCAGTCGTAAAATTTAATGTCTTATATTACACGCAAGCAACGGTACGTGTCTCTACATAAGCCTTTTTATTTGAACCAGAGAATTCTAAAAATCCTCTTGTACATTTATATATAGAGTGGTTGGTAACTGAGTGGTTGTTAATAAAAATTTTTCGTTTGAGGTTTTGTTTTCGAGAAAATCAACTTTGAATTTTCGCTCGGTACGCGTGCACTTTATCACCTCTCGTTATAACGGATCTCACTGTAGATCATTGTCTCGATGGAAAAATTAAAAAAAAAATTAAAAAATGTTTCGCGTAGAATCACCCCCTTCCGCTTGTACCACCAGTTACCAACCACCTTGTATATGTCGGGTTTGCATTGGAATTAGGGTTAGGGGCGTGAATCGAATTTTTATTTGGATTACACATTGTCGTTATGCAATAACGAAGACATTGACTAGTGCAAATACGATTATTGCAGAATTTGACAAGTCACCGTGGTAATTAGATACTCGAGAAGCTAATGACAATGATCCTAGGTTCAATAACGAATCCGCGGTCAACGGGATAACAGGATGCGCTTTCTTCCAAAGCTCAAATCGTACTCGACTCGTACGATGGAAGTATAACTAAACTAACTCTTTGTTAAAACATGGAATATCCACCGAGCGTACAGACGCTAAGTAACTCGCCAATACGACCTCACGAGAGAATGACTTTCCGTCCCGATGATGCCACAGAGGAAAACTATGATGGGGTGTGTCTAAGGACACGAGATCATCGGATTCGTCGAGGATAGCCTTCGTTCAGAAAGTTTTCTTTTTTATTTTTTTTATTTATTTATTTATTTAAATTTTACAATTTGTCCAGTAGGACATTTGGTAAAATATTATAGCTTAGTGGTATAATAATATACCATGTGAGTGGCTACCCCCAGCGGGGTACCATCTTCGTGTTTGTTAGGTTACATCCTTTCGTTCAGAAAGTGAGGGAAATTGACGTTGCTGCTAATTGGTCAATCTCCATATCGGTGGTTAGAAAAGATGCTAGCCGCCCTCGAGGGGAAGTTGCTAGTGGGAAGCGTCGCTCCTGAAAAAAATAGATTTCACCTATCTTCCCGTAGTTGGGACAAAGGCTGTCTGTCTGTTTGAAGGACTTTAGGTAACTAGATCTTAGTGTTCATAGTAGCCCTCGGGCTAGCTGAGCACGTACTGTGGAGACGCGTCGGCATCTGGTAACCATCATACCCGAAGAATAGGATCTGCGTGTGGCGAGCCACGGGACAGAAACCGTTGGAATGTCGCGTGCCGATACAAATATTTCTTTTAAGGAGAGCTATAGAATTACTCCATACCTTTGTTCCCGTGACCGCGGCTACGTTCGGCGACTGGTTGGCGCCTCGAGCCCAAGCTCATTTTTTTTTATTTATTTATTTAAATTTTACAATTTGTCCAGTAGGACATTTGGTAAAATATTATAGCTTAGTGGTATAATTTAGATTACGGTGTTAAGGGATTTTTCCGAAGTTCCAAAGGGAAGGCTCCGATGTCCTTTCATCTCCGACATATATTATACATTAGGATCATTCTATATCAATACGTTTTAGCTTCCATATTTAAATGCCATTTATTAAAAATCGTCTATACACGAAACTAGACTTTTAAAAAACTTCTCACATTATCATCATCGATTTCATGTTGCAATTAAATTTCTTTAAAAATTCGATTACTTTTAAAGTTCTGCCCAGAACTTCCAAATAACTGTCTTTTTCATTTCCGTTTAATTAACCCATCATTCACTTTTACCGTGTATCGAATAAAAAGAAACTGAAGGAAAAGGAACTAAATTAAACGAAACTTGCCCAACGAAGGTAAACTCAGAAATGACGATCTCAGATATGGGTGAACCTCAAACTTTAAATCTTCCATCTCTTGCCTCGAATCCATTTGGTAAGGAGAAATGATGTTCTAAGTGAAGGAAAGAAAGGAATGTATTTCTGACGAAAAACCTATTACGCGAAATAACTGTTCAGCCGCATTTTCTCGTGACTTAATGCGTCATTACACGTTTTCATGTCGAGCGTGTCGCTGGTTTTAAAAGCTTCTGCCATGGCAGTGGCTATTAACACAGTCGTTTGAGACGCACGAGAACGCTGTGTTCTTCCATTAAAAGACACTCGAAAGTACTGGACGTTGTCGTTGACATTCCAGCGTGGCGTCCTGACGCTCCACATCCTGACATTTTTGTAATTCCGTAAGACAAATTACAATACTCACAGTCTAGATCTAAATTATAAATATTTATTGTTGGATTGCAGTTTTTTATGCATTTATTTAATCTTCAAATACTATCGTTGAGTTATAGATGACTATAGTGATTGATGTTAGGCTATTAAATTTTAAAGTATGTAATTTCGTTTGGTATTCTATATTCATCTTGACAAAGACTATTAATAAAATGAAACTAAATTAAACATAAATATTAGGTAATCAGCAAAATTAGGTAATTTAATTATAAATGCAAATGCGTATTTTTGTGAAATATACACAGAAATTTTTTACATGCTTGGATTATACAAATTTGTTTTTTAATATTTTGACATCTTGCATAAGAATTTACGAATGTTTGCACATCTAAGTTTCAGAACGTATACAAAAGTATGTAAAGTAACCTAATAAAAAAATTAGTACATTATGTAGATAAGTGCTTATTTTAAAAGTATATATCTTGTAATTTCTATACATCTATATATAAGCCATTTAATGTAAAAATGGTAAAAAAGGCGTGTCAATTTTTTGCTTATTTGGTTCAACATCACATCACTAAAGCGTAACTAATTATAAAAAGCGTTAAATAATAAACCTTCACTCTGTTTTGTGCAGAAGTGGTGTAAGTATATCTTCATTAGTTTCACGATGGATAGCGGAATAAGTAAGAACCTTTTTTGATTTACACCACTTTTACATTAAATGGCTCATGTGTATATACATACATACATTTTTAACCTTTCTTTACATTTTGTAATATAATCATGACAATCGAGTCTCGGGCCACAGTGTTAATAAAATTTCAAAATATTTTATGTAACGCACATTATATATTAAACAAAAAAAATATTTATGAGTATTCAAATAGCTTTGTGAGTCACTATAGTTATCAACATTTAGCAGAATACTTTATAATTTTAACTCGATAGATTATTAAAATGACACTGAGCGTTGTTAACAACAAGACGCCGCTGAGACAAAGGTCGAGATAGAAATTTTGCACTTGCCACTCAAATAAGTGTTCTTCCTTCGTCTGCTGAAATCCAAACTCCGCGACGGTTTAATTAAATGCGTTTCCGGAATAGGGTTCGCCACAATGCTGTATAATCTACGGATCGTTGCTCGTTGCCCCAACGAATTAGATTATTCGATGAATCCCGAGTGAATGCTCGACTGATTCTTGCTGGAAACCGCTGAATCCCTCGACGAAGGAAATTACTCGCTGTTCTCTTACGCCAGTTGTTTTTTATTCGATGTCGAGCTTTGGATTTAACGCATCCGACGAAGTATCGAACAGTATCTCGTCGGTGTAACTATCTACCACGGCGAACGATCGAAGAAATGGGGCAACAAATTGGGGTGTTGCCAGGCGAGTTACGTTGATTGAAATAATTAGGAGGGCGATTTGAATGGGTTAAGGTATAGGGGGTGAAACGTTCAAATTGCATGAATTGCGTAGGAGGAATAAATGGGTGGATATTTTGGTGGATGTGTAGGCTTGGCTTTAGTGTTCTTGTGATCTTTTAGTCTTACTAAGTTTCTTTTGTCCTACATATGTTTTTACATGTCGAGTTTCGTTCAACCCTTTAAAGTCTAACTGCATCATACATTCGTTCAAGAAAGAAAATTTTTGAAAATACAAATTATTAGTTGCATTGGTAAAATTTAGAACAAAATTGAAAATGTGCACAGAAGTTACATGATATTTAATGCAAGTTTTGAATAATTTTATAATGAAATCCCGTTCGTATATTTAAAAATGATTAATATATTTTATGCCACTTTCAAATTATATTATATAAGCATATTTTCTTTCATCTCTTGATACTTAATGCCTTATACTCTATGCTTTTAAAATTGTTTATGGTTTGGAAAGAGAATATTGTACAAGTGCAATATACTGGGATTATTATTTAATTCTTTGAACTTTTTTCAAACCATTGTTAAATACATCTAGAACGAAGCCATTCGAAGAAATAATGGAAGTTAAATCAGGATCGTATTTCGTCATTGTTGTGTTTTTCATTCACGATGGGAACATAATTAATAAAACGCAATTGTTGAATCGCAGCTAACAGTTTTGAAACATTAAGAAAAAATAAAAGCCACGTTCAATCTATATTATACAAAGAAAAACTGGCTACAATTTTACTCTTCATTAAACTTTTTCCTTCCCTTTATTGAGATAAAAATGTTTTTATGTTAAAGGAATCTATCTCGCAACGTTGGTAATTAAATATGAGATTGCTTGCGTTTAAAAGAAAAGTAGGATTTAACTGCCGCTTAATCTGTAACCTACATTATTCACGATAATCTAAAAGATATGTTTAAAGCTATACGCTAAGAGGAAGATCATCCTTTGCTTCTTTGTGTTCTCATTAGCAAGCTTCAAATGTAATTCAGTGCACGCGAGCGAATGCAATTTGATCTGGCCTTATTAATTCGAAATTAATATCATTTCCAAGTAACCAAGACGTGGCGCGTTATCAATTTATTTTCTCTATTTAAACTAGTATTTGGATTCGTATCCATTTGCAACTAGTTGCTTTTATCCAAGTTAAATTAATTCGGTTCAGTAAAATTGAAATTATTGCCATAATATCGCGGTTACATTCCGTACATATACTATGTTACACATATTTGCATTAAACGTATTTGCTTAACTCTATTCTAAAGTTGTATTTATTGTTTTCGTGACAGTGGCTTTATTAACGCGCTGCGGATATTTACGTAACTTGATATTTTTCTGAATATAATTAAAAAATGGAGTCTAGGTAAGAAATCATTTTACCTACTTTGTATGTTTGCATTTAAGAAAGTAGTGCAACTGGAAAAAGACACTAGTTCACATCATTGCACTTGTGGAGAAAATATTTTTTTATTTATTTATTTATTTATTTATTTACTAAAATTACAATCAATTCTCGCGTTGAGAATATGTGGAGAAAATATGGCTGTAAAATTGTAGACCTCGTTGAATCATTCTCGTCTTTCTAGAATTTTTTTGCCCTAACATTTTATTCTAATTTTAGGCAAAAAAGAGTTGCGTGAATCATCCTTTGTGCCGTCATGATAATATCACCGAAAGAGTGTTCGACCCTTACAAAAACTTTATAAAAATCGGTGTATTATGCGACCATTTTACAGGCCCTTACAAAGGTACTATAGGAAAGTCGGCTACTAATCAAGAGTTAATAAGCTCTCATTTAGGAAAATCCGTAGAAATCTCTCGGCAACTGCACAGCTAACTCTCATTCAACACTATCCATCGTATAGCCGAAGATTAATTCGGCGTATGGCAACGTAGATACCCGCGTACATCGACAATTCTCTTTGTAAAGCAATTAAACGCGCGTTTACGCGTTAATGCTACAAGCGATCTTTCCACAAATGTGCTTATTCCTTTTCAACGTGCAACAACCCGCTTCGGTTTGATGCAAATTGTACGTGAAACATAATATGCCAAATGATTCGTATTCCCTGTTCATATACTGTTGTTTCTCCTATACATAGCCATCAAACGCAACGGTACAATTTCATTTTCGTATTACCTAGTAGTATTTTCATATAACTATGATACTATGAAAATAAAATATAGTATCTAATAACAAAACGCTTTATTGGTAAATAAGGGTATGTTCAAATACCTTTTGTAGCCACAATAACATATCCTCTCCATATGGTCCCAAACATTCTTCTTTCAAATTTTTAACATTCTACACCAAGTATTCACCATTCACACACCTATCGCCCTCTTTCAAATTCACTTTACGTGTCTGATATTCTCTCTCGGGTTCTCCTCCAAATTCACTTCACGGGTTCCAAATTTTCTTCACTTTTTATTAACTTCACAAAATTCTATTACCTTGTACAATACTTGCATGCATTATCAGCTTCTTTTCCATACAACTATCGAACTTCCATATGCGACGTTCGTAACCGATCGTTTCGTCAACGAAATACGCAAACTTTCCACAAAGTAACGCACAACGATCCCGACGCAGCATCCTCCACGGAAACTAATTTACCAGAATTAATTAAACGCAACCGGATGAAGTTTCCACTCGTCGAGGAGTCAATTTCTCTCTCGACCATGGAAAGAGTTTTTAATCATGACCCGTGATTTATTGGTCAGAAGCGGGATGCATGTTAAGCGTTGATAAAGATGGAACTTTAAAGCATGGCGATTCACTCTAAACAGATATTTGTAGTAATTCCTTTGGTGGAAATTTTAATAATGTAATCGCTATGCGGTGGCCATAGAGATTATTAATGAAGTCTTTGTAACTAGTATTGATTTTAAAACTGTAGAAATTGCTACCAACACGGAGCAATTCGTTGCTCGCACAACGCCATGGTGGTTCTGGGTAGCTTGCACGCTACACTAATGAAGTGCAGCTGTGTTTTGCTTGGTACACGGTTATACACGGTTATCTTTACGATTCGAGCAATTTATTTTTAAGCTTTTTTTCATCCAAACTGGTTTGTATCGAATAAGTTATCTTCGAAATTTGCTTATAACTTGCACGTGTTTCTATATTTTTCTAACTATAGAGAATAGTTCTATATTTTAGAACCGCAGTCTACTAACGAAAAATTGCAATTTTGACGGAAATTTTGGCAAATGGTGTCAGGAAGAAAAGGGAGGAATAGAGCGAAGAACGAAAGGAGTATTCAGAATATTAACTTGTCGACATTGGAGAACTCCTCACGTAATACTAATGTACCCTATAATAATCGTTAAAGACTGTTATTCTGTTAAACGTTCGGTAAATGCTCTCGCTTAATTGAAACAAGATGAAGTTTCGTAATTGAACTTTGCGTTACTTGTAGGTGCTGCCATTTAAGATATGTAACGAAGTGATTATTTGCTTTCAAATTGCGTAACTTTAACTAAGATCGATTTTTCCTTCTGTTTCCTTTTCGGCTTTTTAAACAACTCGTTCGTATTTCTTTGTACTTTCAATTCAATGAATTTTGTACGACCTAGTCGAGTAAAATACAAAATTCGAATGAAAACGAAGTATATTTGAAATTAAATAACTTAATTCAAGCTGTCGTGAGACCTACTAACCCAATAGTAGATGCAAATTAATTTATTGCTCAAACTACAACCATCGTTGAACATTTTTCGTAATATCCACTATATTAATAATGAACAATCTCTCAATGTTATGTAATCTTATATGCAAATTTTCAAATTCGACTTTCTCAAAAACGAAGTCTCCAACGCATTTTGTTGTTCTCGATTTTTGTCTTGCTTTGAATCATAAAATCTCTCTGATCCTATTTGTACCATGAATTATGGACCACCTTGTACGCATAGGAGATTTCTAAGACTTTTGTGATCCACTGTATATCTTCCATAATCATAGAGGGGAGCGTAAGGATTTGAACTTTAACGTTTCGAAAAATCACGTCGTCCGCGCCCGTATCCCATTATTCTTTTTCGTTTTATAACTCATTTCAACCGAGTCTTCTGTCTCTGAACGAAGAAAAGGTCCTTTGATTGGATTTTATCGTATTTCAGGCGGTGAAGCGCCAAAAGTTAAAGACTGTCCGAACGACATAGAGGTCACCGGAAGAAATGGGACGGCAATCACGTGGACCGAGCCAATTTTTACGGACAATGTGAAGGTGACCCGGATTAGGAGCAACGAGGTCAGTATTAATTATAAAGCACTTAATTTCTTAACGAAGTTCGATTATATTGCGATTGTCGAATGTGTGTCACGTTCTTAACGACCAACGCCTGTTGGAGAGGAAACTATGAGTTCTCTATAGACTTTGGACTTTATACACTGCTTATGCGAGTCTATTGGTGGAGAAGCGTAATGCCCATAACACGTAACACTTGTACAGTAATTTATTTCTTTTCCTGTTTCTTCACTCGATCACCGACGAAGAATGGAAGATTAATTTGTACGTTTTATAACTGATAGCGATAAATAGATGTTTATTTTCTTTTACTTTCGCAGATAGATACGAAGATGTAAAAAATCTTGCATAATTTGAAGTTCTGAAATGCAGTTTATACGATGCAAGACTCGATCGTATATTAATAGCGTTCTATTTATCGATTTCTGATTTCATTTATTTCGTCCCAATTTACTTTGTAATAGCGTGAAAGGTTTCTCGTGTTTGACAATCGCATGAATCTCGATCTATGTGTGGATTCCATGCAGCATTTATTAATTTTGTATACATTGTAAAAAATTCCATAGTTCCTGAAACCTTTCTACGATCGGCATTAATTTCGAATGAATATGCTCATTCGAAGTGCTTTTGTTTAATAATTGTTAATTATACGTAATTTTGAATTTACTACTGCATAGGGTGAAAAGAGAAAAAGAAAGGAGGCAAGTAGACAATTTTTTAAACGTAGAAAGTTACTGTAGATGATTCTGATAATCTTTCTTTCTTTTATGTTATCATAAATTTCAGTGCAATTCATCTTTTTTTAGCTCATTTTCATTTTCCTTTCACAACGTTGATATCGTATTGGTATAATTCAGGTTTAAGTCACACCGTCTACAAAGTACGGGTTATCTTAATTTCGTAATATCATTTGGAGGGAAAATTTACATAAGAAAGACAATTCAAGAGGAAAGAAGAAACATTAGAAAAAAGTAAGGCCAACGAGCCGGGCGTGCAAACAGAAATCTCGGTTCTGAAATACTCTTCTCCAGCGAAATTACGGCGAAGGGTTTCTTGCTGTAGAAAGCACCGTCTCTGTACTTTCGCCGACATGCAGGAATTTCTACGGAAATTTCATTAAAAGAAGAATAACGTACGTTTGTCCTTTCTTATCCATTGTTCTCTTTGAATAGTTCATATCGATACTTTAGTTATTTAACTTCCTATGTAAATTAATGTTACATCACATAAATTAGTTGCACTGTTTAACGAATTGTTTATTCGTATACACTGTCTACTACTGGAAATTTGAATACGTAGTATTCTGCGTGTTTTAATTTGTTCAAAATAGGTCACAGTGAGTATTAACCGTGGAAAATACATTTTCATTCGCTTAAATAATGATAAAAGAGATTCAACGAGGCAAGAAGAATAAATATTACGGCAAATTGTAAAAAACAGAAATTTGTTACTATGCATATAATGCACTTTTAGCAAATGATTTTGAATGATATTATTAGTGAATCGAAAGCAGGCAAAGTTTGCAAAAATATATTTACAGAAATTTGTATGAAATAAAACGCGAAAAAAAGTTTAGAAAAATTGGAAATGAATAGATCATAGCGCAAACGAGATATTCGTCGAACTAATCTCAATTTTCATTATGGTGTTACACAAAATCATGGTCGTTGTGGTCGATGTCGATTCGGTCCGGTGTATCTTACTCGGTGTAAATTACTCGTGCAAACTGCAGAAAGTTTGTCGAGGATTTAAACCGTGCGAAGTTTGCACGGAGAACGACCTATGTTTCCATGCAAATATCGTGTAACAATTTTGTTTACAAACTAGTTCGTGATGGTAAGCTATGTCTCATGGCTACATTGTATGGAGAATATGACGCTGCCTTATAAATACTGGCTGCTCTTCATCTTTTTACCTGCATTCTAAACCTCTTGACGTGCTTCGAGGCAGATCCAATTGAATCAAACCGTAGTTGAAGTGAAAGCAGCAAATGACAGCACGTAGTGGTACAAAAATATTAAAAAATGTATCTTTATCCTTTTTAGAGAATTAAATATTTTTCTGTGAAAGTACTGTGAAAGATGTTATTGAATATGTAAGCACATAAATACATTTCTGTTATTTTTTATCTGTTATTTTAATGTCACTTTATGACTAGAGAGGAATATTTTAATATAAAGCAGTTAAAGTCTATTAAGCCTAAAGATACTCATGGTTGATGGAGTTTTACAAATGGCAAAGCAATACAGTATAACTGTTAAGATAAACAATATTTTAATATTGCAAGAAGCAATATTTTTAAAATTATGAAGAAGATGAAAAAATACACATTTAGCTCCAGGATTAAATTTAAAAATCAAAAACGTGGATGTAGCTTCTTCTCCTATAGTCTTTATATTTAAAATTGTTTAAAATTTCTAGTAATTTTAAATGTTACCAGGCGTTTTGAAATTAAACTTTGCCAAAGAAACATTTGAATACATGTATGTACATTATACATACAACGGGATCCAGAAAAATGTTGAACAATTTGTTGTTAGGAACATACTGCTCCTATGAAGGTAAGTTATAAATGTTTTATTTATATTTCCTAGACCAGGATTTCATGAATTAATCTTGGAGAAGATAGATAAAAAATAACAATGTTTATTCAAATAAACAATGATTTATTTGAAAGTTTATTTGAAATGAAATTTTTCCAAATTTTTTACAAAAGATGATATACATACGTTTCTATTTTCAATTTTAATGTAAATTTCATATCTCCATGGGGAAGAGGTAAAAATATTTTAAAAAATTCTGAGTTTATTGTGAAAATATTTTATCAACGTTCTGTACTTTGCATCGATGTGCAAAATTGATTTATGTTAGTAATTTTTTATTTATTTTAGTAATTATTTGTATATGGGGCTTTTTGGATTATTTTCTATCTATTTAATGAAAAGTCTTTTCAATTATCTACCAAACTAAATAAATTACTGTACAGTATATAACAATTGTCTTTATTTTACGATGCAAAATACTAAGATATTGAAAAATATTTGCTTTTCGTATGGAGAAATACACATGCGATTACTGTACATTTAAAACAATACTCGTCACATTTCAATTTCCTGCTGTACAAACTTCACTAAACTCGGCAATAACATCCAAACCACTTTTGCGTGATACCATTCCCATTCAACAAGTTTCGTCGGATCCTACGAAACTTTCAATTTAGGAAGTTGGAATCTCCAAAACACCTTAATAGGATGCTATTACGATAGGATACTGGCGTGGTAATTATGCCACTGTACTATTACATATGTGTTATGTTCAAGCCAATGAGCTTCTTTAAAAGAAATCTTCTCTGTTGTTTATTCCAAACGTTTCCTTTCCAAACTTCTTTAGATATTTTTTTTTTTTTTTAATTATTTAATTTGTACTTTACAATTTGTCCAGCTGGACATTTGGTAAATTTTTCTAACTTAATTGCTAAATAACACGTGGATGACTATTCCCAGCGGGATACCATCTTCGAGTTTGACTATTTTATTTCTTTAGCGAGGTCAGTGGGGTGTTTTCTTTTTAGTCTTCTTTCTATGAGAGTTTTGCTCGCTTCAGCAGCCAGCTGGTTTGGATGTCGTTCTTCTTTCCTTGTATTTTTCTGCGTACCTGCCGATATCTCCTTTGACCGTTGGTATTTTTAAGTCTTTGCATATATTCTCGTATCTGACATACCATGAAGCGTTGACTATTGTTCTTAGTATCTTCGATTGGAGCAACTCTAGTTTAGTTACGTGGCTCATTGCTGCTGTCACCCATAGTGGTATCCCGTACGTCCAAATTGGTTTTATTATCGTTTTGTAGATTTTTAGTTTATTTTCTATGCTGAGTTTCGACTAGTTAGTTACTATAATTGATTTAGTATGTTGTTTCCATGTAAGTTGTGTGTCTAAGTGGAGTCCTAGGTATTTAACTTGCCTTGTTTGTGTTATGCGCATGCCATTCAATTGGATATTTGATGGTTTCTGTTTCCTTAGTGTAAATGTAATATGATTGCATTTACTGGGGTTCGCTTTTATTTGTTCATCTTGTGATTTGTCGTAGAAAATAAGATATACATTTTTTCCGATTACTTACAATTTATTAATAATGAATTGAATATACAGGTATTAATTGGACAGAAAACGATGTTTGTTTAACTGAAACTAAATGCGATACTCGTATCTATCTCAAATAACTTTATAGTTATTTGGCAACTCTCGTCACAACGAATCTAACACACTCTCTCTCTAGCAACTCTAACAACTCTACAACATTGACAACTCGATCAATTCTCTCAACTCTACTCTTCGATGTCTCGATCAACTCTCTCAACTCTACTCTTCGATGTCTCGATCAACTCTGACTCTCGCAACACACTCGCTTTTCGACTCGCATACTCTGACCTCTCGGTCATCCCACCTTGAAACACGAAACCCTCCTTCTGCTCTAACGTTGTTTGTTGTTTTTCTCATATCTCTGTAAGAACTAGATGACTTTAGTCACATAGGCGCTCTTAAATGTAAATGAACCACAGAAGGACGACGTACACGGTTTTTTTATTTTCAACCGATCTCCTACATCCTTTATTTTTACTACAAAGGTTCTGTTGCTTAGGTATGATTTGAGTAAGTAGTGGATTTGTTCTGGGGATTTTCTGATTGTTTGTAAGAGGCTTTCATGGTTCACTTTGTCAAATGCATCCTCAATGTTCATGAAGAAGGCTGTACAGTATTGTTTCTTTTCTGTCGCTAGTAAAAATTTCGTTGACAAGCCTGTGCGTTTGCTTTATCGCGGAGTGTTTGTTTCTGTATCCAAATTGGTGATCTAGTATTAATTTTTTTTCTCTATCGTTGGTTTTAGGCGTTCGTATATTATTTTCTCTAGTATTTTGGAAAACACAGGAAATAGTGATATTGGTCTGTAAGATGCAGTTTGGTGTGGGTTTTTTCCTGGTTTAGGTAACATTATGATCTCTGCTAGCTTCCACAGATTAGGAAAGTAAGGGCTAATATATGTTAGCGACGACGGACCATCGTGTCAATGCAATGATTAGGATAGCACGCCGCTATTTAGCCTTACGATAATTTATGTGTGGGCCGAGGAGTCGGTCAAGACTCCAAGTCGCCGAGCTATAAAGTGTCAGTGATGTGACTGTTTAGAAGACGCGTGAGATAGTTTACAGGTGGCAAGCGATCCGACGTCGTATTACCAAAGAATAGAGACTTTGTGGAAAGGACCTGGCCACGAAGCGGGGAAGGGATTGATCCCCTTTTGGTAAGCGGACTGTGAGAGACCACACGGCACTTACTCCAGAACTTTTTTTTTTATTATTTATTAAGATTACGATCAATTCTCGCGTTGAGAATTTTCAGTAATTTTTCTGGCGTGACGCAGTAACATGGCTAATTATTTATAATAAGTTAATACTTGTTATAGATAAGTATAATTTGTACGTAAATATTGTAAATAAGTAGATGTTACTTAATTTAAATACTAGTTGAATCTGTCGTTTAGGTCTAGCGGGTAGTGTCTCTTCAGCCTGCGAATCTGGTCCGTCGTATCAAGTAGTCCAGTGATTAGGGGGTTTCGGTGTTTGTTGACTCTTTTGCTATATCTGTCGCTATATTTTGCTATTTCCTCTTTGACTGTGGGTATCTTGAGGTCGCGGTGTATTGTTTCGTTGGTAACATACCAAGGTGCATCAATTAGGGATCTTAGCGTTTTCGATTGGAAGCGTTGAAGTATTTCAATGTTGGAGTTGTTGCTGTTCCCCATAGCTGGATTCCGTAGGTCCAGACAGGTTTTATTACGGTCTTGTAGAGGCTAATTTTGTTTCAGAACTTTGAAGATGACAAGTTTCGCTAAATCCATTTTTAACATGTACTTACGTATAAGTACTAGACAAATTTTGAAATTCGAATTTCTCGAAAATGAGATCTCCAATGCAATTTGATTATTCTTAGTTTTCCTCTTAATTTCAGTTCTATTTGTAAACTAGAATCTTTCTAACCATATTTGTACCATAAATTACAAACTACCCTGTACTTCTTTATCCATTTTATTAATTGTATCGTAACATAAATTATCCACGATTTTCTGCTATGCGATACTCATCATTCGACGTACATTTTTGTCGTTTCAGAGTCCAGGCCGGCGTTTCGACGTCGGTGGTCATAGAGTAGAGTACGAGGCGAGCGATGAAGCAGGTTGGTCAAGCAAGTGCGTGTTCACCGTGGTCCTACGTCAGGAGTGAGTCGCGAATTCTTTAGCGATCAAGTGAGCGCGAGAACGAGGAAGGAGGAGGAGGAACGACGGAGAAAAAGGAATCCAGATGAAAGGGGGGCAAAGGTAGCGGACCGGAAGAATAACGATAAGGTAATATAAATGGAAATGCTCTGGACTCGTGCAACGTTCCCTCCGCGTGCGTAATGGATTCCGTTTTATCCGGAAGGTTAAACGCGGATGAGACACGGATATCTTCTCGTGGTACTCGTTGATACACACGCGAGTGCGTGTACACGGAGATGGAAATCTCTTGGTTTGAATACTGAAAAGGGCTTGTTGGAAATCGTCCTTTTGAATGGAATTCAAAGATAATTTAATTTTGGAGAATGTTTCGAGAAATGTTTCTCCCTTGTCTTTTTTCACTGAGCTTGGAAAAGAGTTCTTACGCTTGCTTTTACTTTACATTTGCTGATGATAGTTTAAAAAACAATATAATGGGTATTATTCTCTTAAACTTTATTTAGTTTGGTGTTTTAAATTCATTTTCGGCAAATTGATAATTATTATACTTGTCATTGTTTGATATTCTAAGTCGTATAATTTATGCGTTATTATTTTTATTCTAGTATATCATTAATATTAGAATTGAAGTCATTTCTTAATTACGTAAATAGTGGAAATTTGCCTTGAGATTTTTGTACGAAATACTTTATGTATACGTATGTATTACAATTTATATTTAATTAATCTGTTAAATTTCATTTAATTTAATTTAGCTTCAAATTTATCCGTAGAAAATTGACGATTATTACCCTTTTTCTTACTTGATATTCTAAATGGTATAACATTTACGTTGTTACTTTTATTATAGTATATTAATAATAATAAATTCGAGGTCATTTCTTAATCTCCCAAAGAATAGGATTTTTACTTTGAGATTTTTACAAGATTTTGTACGAAATACTTATACGTATACGTGCTATAATCTGCATTTAAACAAGAGAATCCCCAACAACAACAGTGAGTGTAGCTCATTTTTGTAATTATCATCACATATACACACGCGTAACATGTAGTATTCGAGGTATTCCATTCGAGTAAGATGTCTCGTCGATCATCACGATTGACTTTTCACGGTTCGGAACGATCCACAGGTTTCGCCATTGCACTCTCGTCTTTTCTTTCTCGCGTTTCTTTCACGTTCCGATCTATCGTGGCCCGCACACGGTGTACCCTGAAGCAAATCGTCTAGAATCTAGGCCCTAGATCAATCCTTCGACCTCCACCAGGAGGCTCGATTCACTTATTACATACCACGATCACGATTACGATCACGATCGACACACCATCTAGGAGATCTAGAAATTCGAGGAAATACTCAAGCCACTCTCCTCGCTGCTACTTGTCGGTTCGAACAAAATTACAAGTGATGGTTGCGTGACCAGCATACGCGATAAACCAAGGACAAAAGGGAACAGAAGCAGGAAAGAGCGGGGATATTATATTCCGAATGGCACCGACGGTTAATCGTGATGAAATTTGGCGGATATTATTGGACGAGATAGTAAATGTGAAATATAAAATCCTAACTCCGAGAAATCATATGTACAAAAAGTATTAGCACGTATCCTTATTTGCCAATAAAGCGTTTTTTATCAATTCCACATCTTACTTTCATAACATCAAATTTTTATGGCCGTGTGAAAGTAAATGATACGAAATTTAATATATTTGCACTGACTAATTAGTACGTAAATGTTGTAATAAATACAATGCTATGCTAATAGTTTTCATAGCCACTGTAATTGATCTAGTGACAACATTTTTACCACAAAAACACTCAATCCCAAGCCAAACATATACCGACATCTCTCTTTAAAGGAGACTGGCCGTTTTTCCTTTCACCTATTTTTGCTTTAATGATATATTTATTCCTCATTCATGCTTACATCGTTATACTGATTACCCAACATTGCGCCTATAGCAGCGAAGATCTATTACATATAAGGACATGTATCTTCCGAACGTCTAATTTCTCAAAGCTAGGATTTTATATTTCAGATCTAATATCTTACCCCGTGTTATCCAGCAAATCTCATCCCGATCGGTTATCGGTGTCTTTCGGAAGTACAGCCAAGAGCGGAACAAAGGGCGATTTATCCGCGATCCGTAGATCCGTAGACGGCAAAGAGCAGGGAAATCTATCGGGAGTTCTATGCAAATCTGGAATCGAACGTGCGTTGTCGTTGGTCGAACGAGTTTCGCCGATTACCAGGACCTGGTCGAAACACGCATTGCAGCGGACGCGGCGATTTTACGTTCGTTTCTTTTCACGGTACAACGATCGCGAATTTGTCGAACGAAACGAGGTTCGATCCGCATACAACGAAACTCCAGTTGACCCTCCACCTCTCCCCGTTTCAGCCTCACGCGGAGTTTCCGTGTTAATCGTCGATCGTCGATTAAAATTTCGCCAGGGACGGACAATGTCCGTGTCGGTTAAACGAAGCCGGTCGCGATTAATTTTGAAATTGGACGCCTCGTCGAGTGTGTTTTCACGCGGCTTGCAGCTGACAAGCCGGAACAACGATAGTTTTAATCCCGTTCAGCAGAGAGAGAGAGAGAGAGAGAGAGAGAGAGAGAGAGAGGGAGAGAGTGTGTTAAAGGGCGGTCTTCGGCTGGTCGCCCGCACGCCGATCGGAAAACGAAACGGATTTATGGAAATTGCAAAGTTCCCAGGTTACGTCAAAGCCCGTCGAATCGAGTGTGCGCGAATTATGCGTTCTATTGGACCGAGAACCGCGATTAACGGATAAAACGAAACGTCTTTTAATCAGTTTCCGCGGCCGCGCTTTACGTTTCGATTGGAATATTTTTGAACGTTATGGATCGCATCTTGTTTCGTACGTTTCTAGTTTTCAATCAACTACGATCCCTGACAGAATGGTTTTGATCAAACGCAATAATATTATATGTTTACTATAAAACTGAGAAAGATATCGAGACTTTGATGTGAAAAATTAAATAAAATTATTGTATATATCTGTTTTGTTCACTTCCGTTTCTTGATACTAATAACATAAATAAAAATGTCTGTTCTGTTAAGCGATTTTTACTTTCTCTTTTGTTTTAAGAACATGTATCTGATTTGATTTTGTTTTAAGAACATTTTATATTCGTAAAAGGTAAATATTTTTAGTCAATCTCGTATTATTACGTTTGATCAATAATATTTTGCTATGGGGTTGCATATTTGTATTTTATTTGTAACTTTATAGTACATTCATTTTTCATTTAAGCACTTTATCGGACAATAAGTTATTCATTCTTTTTACTGATTTACAAAATATTTTTGTTCCGTGCAGATTGTGATTACGTGTAATTTAAATTTTCCAATTTTTAAAATATTTGTAATTATTAATTACACTCTGCATATGACTTTTAATATTTTCATTTTTAAAAGCACTCAATATTCCAGGATTAATATCGTTTAATTCAATTTCACAAATATGTTTCTAAACGACCGTAAAACAAATATATTCGTGATTTTTCGTTGTCTTTTTCGAATATCATGATATTTAATTTTATTATTGCAAAGACGTCGAGGGGATTCGTATTTGCATCGCTATTTGTTTGTACGATCTTTTTCTGATATGTTGTTCGTAATACCTACACGTAGTATGCACTACTTTGTCACAAATTGTTACATAAATTACATGTTATATATTTTTTTATAAATTAATATTATACTTTCAATAGTTATTAATTGTTAACAAAATAATTTAATACTATAGTACTGCGTCGTAATTAATAAAATAACGATCAACAAATACGTAAACCTACGTGCTGTATGATTAAAATGAGAAATCATTAACAATGAAAATGGAAAATTTGAAAATTTAAAATAAAATAAAAGATTAGAAATTACAAATTAAAAATGAATCCATATATCGATAGTAATCTTTTCTTATATGTTGTAAAATCCCATTTTTAATTTACATTCGATACATTTTATAGTAATAAATTTTTTCCCATATCTGTAAGAATTTATCAGAGTAAAAGCACCTAGTGCTACATTTTGTTGATTTTACAGTCATGAGTTCGAAATAAACAACGTGATTGTTATCCGTGTAATCAGCGATAAACACATTGCCAAGCTAAAAGATGTTATACTATGTATTGTTTGTTTGGAATTTACCACTATTTATTATGTTAATCGAATTATTTATTCCTTCGCTAATTAATTGTTACCGATACATAATAGGGGATAATTATTGTATAAAGTATACTCCTAGATTATTAAACGAAAAATTTATCAAAAAACAGTCCTTATGTTTATGTTATGCTCTTATCGTATATAATCAAAAGAATTTATATTAAATGTATGATATTTTTTTTTATCATCGTACTTCACGAAAAGTAAGTTATAAAATGTAAGTAGTTATACTTTATTCTGAATATAATTAATTAATAATTAATTTATAAATATCTCTTCAAGATTATATTAGATATAAAATTTCTTGTAATATTGCAATTTGCGTCTACTATTCAACTTTATAAATAACGAAATGTTTCTCTCGAAACAATCTCGTTATATATTTCAAAGTTCCTCGACTTTTTTCACATACAGCAAAACATGGAATGTTATCGTCACTACGTATACACATATGTTCTCTTTCTTCTTTTTGAATGACTAAGGACATTTATTATTATAAAACTTATTTTACCTTTGATTTGCAACGGGTTTTTATAAAAAGGAGCGCTCGAGGCTTGTAATCGTAGAGAGTATGATAAAACAGTACGCACGTAAACTACGTGCAAGTACTTGCATTTAAAGGGCTATTTTAGTATAGAAAAACCGAAAATTCGATTTCCTATTTTTTGTACATAATTGGGACTATATGAAAGTGTATGCGTAAACTACAAAGGAGAAATTCCTACTATTTCTGAAAATTTAAAGACTATAGTTGCTTCAAAACCTTTTTGACGTATCTCTTTAAAGCGACTAGCACCCAAATTCGAACTTCATTTTTTCTTTCAGACAAACCGATAATAGGTGATTTTGATTGAATTATAGCTTTATTTTGTTATATTTAAGATCCATATGATAAATAAAAGAGCTACTATCTTTTTATGAAATTTAGTTGTTTGATCTGTATGATTTCGGCCATGACAAGATTAAAAATATTAACGGAATTAGTAAAAAGAGGTAAATGTGTCAGAGTTTACTTAAAGAGGGTCGTTTAGATCAGAGTGCTCCTTTAACTCGAACTGTTCCACGTAATCACTGTTCGAGATCCGTGCATAAACGATTTCCAGGAAACGTATTATGAAATCGTCATTAAAAGTCGACGAGATATTAATCCTCCGTACCTCGGTACCCTTCCGAGGCAGGTGGAAGGCGCATCCAAACTATCGATTAGTTGGGAACGTGAAAAATTGAAGGGCCAGATCTTTTCGTGTACACCGTGTCATTTGTGCTCGACGAGCGGTATCATCGATTGGAGCGAGGTTAGCGTGTTAGATGTGATGTTCACGCGTGAGCAATGAATTCCAAGCGATCAAATGTCGGCGACGTCGATCTTAAAGATGTAAGAACGTGCGAGAAAAGGGACTATTTGGTAGCTGGGTAGAGAAATTTCAAATTTAGTATGAAGAATGATGATTTCGTGAGAATGGGAAGAAGTTTTGGAAGAAGGTGATTAATTCTTCAACTGGAATATCGTGGCATTTTGACAGAAGCATGTTGGACATTTTTGGAAAAAATTATATAAGCTTCATCTTTTTATAATCTCATTGCAAAAATTTTCTTACTGAAAAAGTTTAGATATGTTTGATGACAGATAAATCTAGAAAATTACATCGTGTAATAAAGTAAATGGAGATTTGCTACAAACGTAATTTTCATGTTATAGCAATTTGCAGTTTTTGGGAGGCAATATATATGCATATTGTATTTTACAAATTCGATTAAAATGAAAGTAGGTTAATCGAAAAAATATGGAAATTCATAACGTTTATGGTACCAAAGAAATTGTTACAAGATTTGTAAATGATTTACATTTTGGAAAGTATCATATGATATTTTAAGATCTTTTAAATTAAAGAATATGTAAATTACGCGTTAAGAAAAGTACGTTAAATTTTCAAGTGTAAAATGTATTCCACCGTCTCCGAAATCTGTTCGAAATTAACTTTATGAAAACTTTCAAATTTGAATTTAACTTTCTTTATAAAGTATAAAATATTCAAACGCTTCAATTACCTACATACCATCACGATGTTCCACTTTGAGGGTTAAATCACCCTGTTGAACCTCGATCAAAGCATGGAACGAGGAGTATAATAATCGAGATTATTGATTAAATCACTTTAATTAATTAATAAGCATAGGGACAATATATGGTAAATGTAATTAGAGGTCATCAAAAGTTTGTGATACCTTCAATTATATCGATAAGCGCTGACTGCGTTCGAAGCCGTAATTTTTAGAACGAAATAATAAAAACGAGTCAGGAGAAAACAGTTAGAAGATCTTTTTTCTTTTGTTTCCATCATGAACGATCGTCGATGATCACGGAGCCTAACCAAATGTATTTACTTTCTCATAACTAAATTTTATTATACTGTAATAGTATTACTACTATATTTTAACTTATTCCAAGAAAAACAGCCCGCCTCAAAATTTTTGTTTATTGTGACAAAATAAACAATGGAAATTAATATAAGATATTATTAGATATATAAATATAATTATATAAAAAAAACTTTTTACACCTATGTGCATTATTTGTACATTTATGTGATGTATATACATTTATATATAAGTTTCTTCATAATATAGAGGACATTTTAATAAATTCAATAATAACAAATAGGATGGGAAAATGGAATAGATAATCGATAAAATGATATTTGGATTTAGAACAATATTTTATAAGAAATAAAATTTTGGTCCTTCATTTCTTTAAAATAATTTCTGTATACGTATATTTTCAGATTTGTTTCAAATTTTATCAATATAATTAGGATAATTGGATTTCACTACAGCGGTACATTGCCTGCACCGCGTATAAAGCGACTCATCCACCAAAAAACTTACAATTCGAAGTCGTTTAATTTTGCCTTACGAGATTTTTTCTCCAATCTTAAACTAGATCATTTTCAAACCGTAATGTTTTCTATTTTGGACATTTGGATAAGGTATCTTGTATATTGGATTTCAACAGACTATCCAAAATTAATCGGTAACAGTGAGTATAGCCGTGCAATACTTCGCAGTATATCCTAAATATTTTACGAGGAAATTTTCATGTATCTACGTCACGAGCAGGTAATCCCTTGGTGCAAGCTACGCTTTCGCGTTCACGTGAACCAGATTTACGTATATTAATGTATAACCATCGTATATACGGTGTAGTTCCAGACGATGCTTCTGTCATCGCCAGATTCCTGTTTTCCTGAATAACATTGTCGCGAAGGTACTGAATACTTCACAACCGCGCTGTTAGACAATAGGCTATTAAGAACGAAAACCGGCATAATAAGTGGCGAGAGTGTATATATCTCAAGAGGTGGTTAATATCGGTGTACCGATGGCTCTACTTATTGTTCGTCAGTATTTTACGCTGTTTGTTCTTGTTGTTATACGTCTATCTTTCCTATTTTTTCGATTCTTCATCATCATATATATTATACAAAATATTTTGTAACTGATGGTATAATTAAAGGAAGTTCTAAAAAAAAGAGTTGGTTGGAGAGATATATTATCAAGATTTAAAAGCTTTTCTAAAAAGCGAAACGTCATATGAATAAATTTTATTCCACATGTTCGACATAATTTTTTACGTAAAATCATTTCATATCTGATTGTACCGTCATTTACAAAATATCTTGTATATATGAATTTACCATACAACTACCGTAACGAAATATATACAACAACAATAATTATTTCGGTCAGTAATCGATAACTAAGTATACCAAAT